ATTCCTATTATTGAATTATTAAAGTTTTTAACATATATACCTCTGTAGTCCTTATATATATATATATATATATATATATATTAAAACCTGTGAAAATTGGAACCTATGTAAGGTGGAAACTTGTCAAGGGAAGGAAAAACTCAAATATTTTCAACTAAATAGAAGACTGCACCCTGTCAAAGGCAGAAAACTTGTGAGACCTGGAAAAACAAAGATGACTCATCAAGTTCTGGCTCTCACAGGTTTCTCTGGATATTTTGCAAATATTTTCTTCCAGAGTCCAGCCTATTTGTGATAAAGAATTAATTCTGATTCCTTCCTTCTCTCTTGTTGCCATATCCCTTACCTAACTCCAGCTAAATCTATAAGCATTTACAAGGTCTCCTAAATCAAGGCTTTTGTTTTTACTCCTACCACAACCATCCTAGCTTAAGTCTTCATGTCATGCTTAGGTTTCTAAGTGCCTTCTGACAGTTTTCTCTAATTTCTCTTTTTCCTTGAAATTATCCTAACACCACCATTTTATTGCTCAAAAATTTTCCACAATTCTTCCCACCTTAATAAATGAAGTACACACTCAGCAGTCTCAATTCTTCATTCTTGTCTCAGTCTTACCCAAATACTTTATTTCATCCACACCCATCTATTCATCACCCTCTGAACAAGAGGCACAGTGTCCAATTTCCAGGTCTCTACCTCTGCCTACATATACAGATCCTAGTTGTGCTTCATAGCTAGCACAAGTCCTTTACTTAGTTCACTAAAACTTGACAAGTTCCCTGACTTGTCCTCCTTCTAAACTCATAGCTTATGAGTTCATTTGATAATTATAGTTGAAACATGATATGAATTTTATTGGCATTATTATAGTACCTGGTAAGTAGAAAGCATTCATAAAGTTTATAGAATAAATTTTTTAAAGCAAACTCTTTTCAAGTACTCCTTTCTTGCCCACCAAACCACAGTATAAATTTTCGGGGAGTAGAGATGGAACTTTATAGATGCTCAATAAATATTACAACTTGCCTCCAACTAATAATTCATTGAGAAAGTCTCTGGGTTTAAGAGAAGGCCAGGATGTACCTTATGAGGCTATCTTCTTAATTACTAAGAACAAAATCAAGTATCTAACCTTTTTCATATATCAGTTCCTTGTCTTTTGAGGAAAGAGAATTGACCTTTTGGTTTAGTTTTTCTGTTTCCATCTGTGTTTGCTTCTCATAATATTTGTCATCTGGTTTCATTGATAAAGTCAATTTATGTTGATTATTCTATAACAACAATAACAAAAAAGTCAAGTTAAAACAAGAATTTATTAAGGCTTAAATTTATACTGCTTCTGTCATTGTAATCTTGGTTATATAATTCCATTTATCCATTTTTTAAATGTAATATCACTCTCTTCAAAGGGTTGTTTTGCAGAGTAAATTATAGAAGTCAAATATGGTTATAGAACCATATGTAGTATACAGTTACCACATAATTTGTATATACTGTTATTATTACTTTTAGTATTACTGTTATCATAGCCACTATGTCTTAACCATAAAATTATAAATATTCAACATTTTGGTTGGAAAACAACTATACTTTTTATTACTATAAATCTTTGATTTTACTGTAAATATAATATAATGCCAAATAAAATAGCTTTTTATCTAGTCTTCATTACACTATTAATTTCTCACAGATTAGAACTAATTTCCCTATTCAGAACTTTATAAATTTAAGGACAAACTAAATGGGAACTCTGGTAGCATAGTGCCTAAGGCACTTGACTACTAACCAGAAGGCTGGTGGTTCAAACCCACCAGCCACTCCTCAGAAGGAAGATGGGGCACATAACAGCAACAACAAAATGTTGATCTAATACAACAAAAGATGTTAAATGATTTAACATGCTTCTCTTGTTGTTGTTGTTGTTGTTGTTATGTGCCGTCGAGTCAGCCCCGACCCATAGCGACCCCTCCTTGGGTTTCCGAGGCAGTATCACTACGGAAGTAGGATTGCCCAACCTTCCTTCCGAGGAGTGGCTGGTGGGTTTGAACTGCCAGCCTTCTGGTTAGCAGTCAAGTGCTTTAGCCACTATGCTACCAGAGCTCCTAAAAGAGACAGCCCAGTCTACCTGGCGGGGAGCAGCCAGTGGGTTTGCACCGCCAGCCTTGGGTGTGGCAGCTGACTGCCCGAGGCCCTGAGGCCATCCCCGGGGGCCAACTTCTCTTATTTATTTCAATAATTTAAAACACAGTCAAAATGCTCATTTGTAAGTCTACAAAGAGAGATGAGAAAATCAGAGTATAACAGAAATTTTATGTAAAATAACTTATAATAACTGAGAGAAACTACAGGTCAAATTATGTGCCATGTCCAAAACAATGGCATGTACTGCAATAGAGTTACATTTGAATAGTCTTATTCACAACAGTAGCACATTTTTAAGTTCAGACATATTAACGATTATATACATACAACCAAGGATAAATGCCTAGAAATCTATGAAAACAAACGATCAGGCATCAAAAGAATTCCATTAAAAAAACAAGCAAAATATTCACTGTTCTCATATTTTATATAATTATTCAACTAAAACAACAAAAATATATGCAAATATTTTGTTAGTAGATACACAAATAAATACATGTATTCACATATAAAATATATACACATATTTAACATACAAAAAACAACTTGCATATAATCTAGAAAACAATTTTCAAGTTAATATAAGCATTTATATTTTAATTAACAAAAAATTATGACACCTATTCATTAGCAGAAATAGATTTATATAATGTACATTATGTTCCCAATGTTCATTAGTACAAAATTCAACTTCAAAATTATAAATTCTTCAATTTTCTTACCTTAAAATATTGTTTTACTTTTTCTTGCAAAAATTGTGGATTTTCCTTAAGGCACTGCCTGAATTGAACCATTTGATTTCCTAATTTCAAGAGTTCCACAGGGTCGCCATCATGATTCCAGCAAGAAGCTATGTACTGGGACAAAGAGGTTTAAATTCACAATGCATATTATACTACAAATGCTACATACTCCAGGAATTAGCAAAGGATTTACATTTTATTAAGATCTTAGCTTTTATATTTAAAAATACCCCTGATGACTATTTGTAACAAAATTTGAGTCATTATTTGGTTGGAAGAAGGGAAGCTAAGTTCACCATATTATTTTCTAATAAAATAAAAAGTGCATGCTTAAATTATTTTTGGAAAATGTAATCATTACTTACACTTATTCTATGTAAACCTACTTCACACAAAAACATACACTACCATCAGAAAGCTAATAAAAAGACAGACAATATATTATTAAAAAATATAAAAAGACTGGCTGTGTACTATAAAAAATTAAAGAGTAAATTTACATCAGATCTGAAATCATATAACCTTCTGAAAATACACATACTTAAAGTTCAAAGGAAAGGCTCTATCAATATCAATCTGTATTTTCAGTACTGTCAAGAACCACTAATTATAAAAGTGTAAAAAGAAAAAGAGGCAGTTGAGAAACCACATACTGATGTCAGTGTAAGTCCAAAGCTGGTAGACTGATGTTTCATTTGTATTTCAGTTTTATGAAGCAAAGCTTCAATTCGATCATCTTCAAATCCTTTTCTACAGAACAAAATAAATAACAGATGTTGGAAAGAAAAAAATGTTTCAGAAATGCAAGGTAGCAGATATTTTTTTAAAAAATTAAACATGAAGTAATACATGCTTTATTACATAAAGAAAAGGCCACAAGACTAAGAAGGATCTTGCCCTCACAATAAAGTATTAATGAATTAAGAATAAAAACAAATCATTGCAAAGCACTTACTCTATGACTTCATCAATTGTTCTGTCAATAATATTTTTGACCACTTGAATATCTTTTTCTGCAATTCCCTGTAGGCCTACACTGAAGTAGGCCTCCCTTGTGTAGCCATTATATCTAAAATCCAAAAAGACATGACACATTAGTACTCATATAATTTTCAGCATTCACTTATATCTAATGATCAAATACTCTATGAATAGAACTTTGAGCTTTAAACATCCAAATCCTCCATAAAAAAAAAAGTAAAATAGTATTGTCAGATTTTCACTTCTCAAATATCAGTAGTCAAATTTAGATTATGTCTTATTATTTCTGAAAATCAACAGAAATCTTAGAATTATGGCAAACTAAACCTAGAAAAAGAAAACTATTGAGTTTTGTACAATCTGCTAACCAGAAGGCTGGCGGTTCAAACCCACCAGCCACTCCTTGGAAGGAAGATGGGGCAATCTACTTCCGTAGTGATACTGCCTTGGAAACCCAAGGAGGGGTCACTATGAGTTGGATCTGACTCGACAGCACCTAACAACAACAACAAAAGATTTTTTTAAAAAAAGCTATCAACAGCTAGTGGAGTCTCTCACATCATATCATTTATACTTTCCTGCTTCCTTCATTTTTTTCCCCTCCACACAAGATAATATGTATCTAGTTAGTAGTTTACCCACCCTTTGTAACTATCAAAGAGTATTTTCATTTTTGTGAAATCTTTTCTTGACTTTTTCTAATAGTGGTCTCATACAGTATTTGTCCTTTAGTGTCAACCTTAAAATTTCAAATAATATTCAGTGTCCTGACTTTTAAAAAGGGCAAGAGCAGAACATTCTGAGATCTTGGAAAAGCTATGCTCTTCCCCCAATCCCAAGCCCCAAATATCCCCTTCTGGGCTATATAAATAACTTTTCCCAGAACTCCAATCTATTGCATAGTTTTGTGTTCTAGGGAAGGAAGACATGGTCTTGTGGACTCTAAGATATTCTAGGGGAGAAGGGTATGGTTCTCTGCAATGTAGGATGTTCTAAGGTAGGAGGGTTTGATCCTGTATTCTACAGAATGTTCTAGGGGAGGAGGTCGTGGTCTTACACATGGTATGATATTCTAGGGTAAGGGCATGGTCGTGTGGATAGTAGGATGTTCTAGGCAGCAGGGTGTGGTACTCTGTACTACATAATGCTCTAGAGGAGGAAGGTATGGTCTTGTGCACTGCTGGATGTTCTAGAAAAGGAGGATGTAGTCCTTTGCACTGACGGATGTTCTAGGGGAGGAGGGTATGGTCCTGTGCACTGCAGGATGTTCTAAGGGTGAAGGGCTTAGTCCAGTGCACTGTAGGATGTTCTAGGACAGAAGGGTGTGGCTCTGTGTACTATAGCATGGTTAGCAGTATCCCTGGAGTCTACCCATTTGATGCCAGATGTCCCCTCTTGCTGTGATAACCAAAACTCTCTGGACATTAACAAGTATGTCCAGGAGGGCAAAATTACTCTCAATTGAGAACTACTGATCTAATCTAGTAATAAAACTTACCCAACATCAGGAGAAAAGTCTGTGCCAAGTCCAGATTCAATTAAGGCTTTGTAAAAAGGAGAATTGGGTCCACCAATCAAGAGTGAAGACAAAAGATTTAATGTGAAGGATTCAAATGCATCAGTGATGCTTCATTTAAAAAGAGGATGGGGAAATGGGGGAGAAGAAAACAGAAAAAAAAAAAAAAACTGTTGGTCTTCATAATAATTTCAAAATCACCATTAACACTTTTATTTCTAAAGAAGTTGAAGTTGTATTACAACTTTGTCTTTCAATCTTTATTTTTATAATTGCATGGGTGAAAGATAACCATCCTTTTAGCTTACGAAGCATTCATATATACTGATACACTGTGATTGTTTTCTTTTTGGTACCAAAACTGATTTAACTGGGTATCTAATACTTATCGCATGACACTATGCCAAGTACTTCCACATGTCATTTCAATTAATCTACACAATTATATCAACACTATAAAGTAGATAAGAAAGTGAAATGAGATTAAGGGACTTGTTCAAGGCTGTAGAGCTACTAAGGGCAGACAGAACAGCCAGTATGCATAGGCAAGTTAACATCTTTCCTTTCCTAAATATCTTTTCTTAATCTCATGTCTATGAAATCTCTAGAATGACATAATTTTATTATGTACCATATTTCTCTGAAGTGAATGTTCATAGTATTCTTATTGTGCTTGGTGAGTTCTAATCCATTTACAACTGCTGTTTTAGACCAGTCTTTCCTCTAAGCAATGAATACTTTAAAACAGAAGTAAATTATTTTTCTTCCGGATAGCTACCAAAAGTGATTTTCCCCTAAACCTTCTCAGATGTTAGTAGTAAAACCTTTCCTGATATTTTGCTCTACTCTGGAAATCTGCTTGACTTCTAAATATATATTAATTTATACTTGATTAAAGAATTCACTCCCTAACATTCTAACCTGGGTGGTGGTCTACTGTTTTTCAAATGTCATAAGTTTTAACAATTTATACTTACCCTGGTAAGAGGAAGCTGACACTAACTGTTGTCTGTTTAGAGGAATCTGTAGCAAGTGAATCAGGGCCACATGTTATTTGGTATTCCCTCTGTAAAATGATAGGACATTATAAATAAGCACTGAGTTTGAACAGTTTTAAACTAGCATAGGTTGTTAGGATATGAGAGCTGGTCCAAGGAAGTTTTTCACTAAATTAACTTTCTTTTTAAATAAAGAATCATCCTTTAGGCTTGAAAAGCTCTTAAATACATTGTACAGACCACAAAAACATTTTCAAATCTTATTATTAATACAAAATTCAAGTTTAAATATATTTTAATAGGCATTTTTTTTTTTCAAAAACTGATTATTCTGTAGACCTACAGGCTTATCCCAAGGCTTCTGAGCTGGCACCATGGTACTTGGTTCAATTTTCTGAAATTTACTCAGTGCTTCTTCATCAATTTGTTTCAGGTGCTTTTCTAACTGAAAATTACCATAAGTGAAGAACCTAAAATTTTGAGAAGAAAAATTAGTTTATTTTAGTTAAAGATTAAAATCGAACAGTGAAAGTTTTTGCATGAAATGGAGATATACAATATATAGCAGCTGATGAAAGTCAGCTTCCGTACCAAAAAAAAAAAAAAAAAAAACAAACCCACTGCCATCAAGTCGATTCCAACTCACAGCAACCCTATAAGACAGAGTGTAACTGCCCAATAGAGTTTCCAAGGCTGTAAATCTTTACAGAAGCAGACTACCTCATATTTCTCCTGTAGAGTGGCTGGTGGGTTTGAACTGCCAACATTTTGGTTAGGAGACAAATGCTTTAACCACCGTACCACCAGAGCTCCATGTTCTTGTTATTATATGCTGTCAAGTCAGACCCAACTCATAGCGACCCCTTCTTGGGTGTCCAAGGCAGTATCATTATAGAAGTAGATTGCCCCATCTTCCTTCTGAGGAGTGGCTGGTGGGTTTGAACCGCCAGCCTTCTGGTTAGCAGTCAAGTGCCTTAAGCACTACGCTACCAGAGCTCCTCCAGAGCTCCATAGTGAAGTGAAATTTATATATAGGAATGTATTTTTTTTTTTTCACTTATTTAAATACAAACACCCAAAAGAGGCTTTTTACATAATAAAAAGTTGACTGCAAAAACAAAACAACTTGTGCTGAAGAAATTAATTAAACATGAAGCTGGCAAATTTGTGGCAAAAATTTTATTTTTTGGCAAAGAATACTGAATATATCATGGACTGCCATAAGAATGAACAAATCTGTCTTGGAAGAAGTATAGCCAGAATGTTCTTTAGAAATAAGGATGGTAAGGCTTCATCTCATGTACTATGGGCATATTATCAGGAGGGACCAGTTCCTGGAGAATAAAATGTAGAGGATCAGCAAAAAAGAGGAGGACCCTCAACAAGATGGACTGCAACAATGGCTGCAACAATGAGCTTAAACATAATAACAACTGTGAGGATGGCATAGGGCTGTGTTTCATTCTGTTGTATATAGAGTTGCTGTGAGCTGGAACTACTTGACAGCAGCTAACAACAAACAAAAAAAGGCAACAACTCATCTTTTATTTTATTTAAAATTACTATAAAGGTGTTAAAGGTTGGGCAACCTACTTCCATAGTGATACTGCCTCAGCAACCCAAGGAAGGGTCGCTATGAGTCAGGTCCAACTCGACGGCACATAACAACACCACCACCAATGTTCAGATACTAATTTCTAAAAGCCATTTCTAACTAACTACCAACCAACTAACTAAACTCCTTGAAGAAATGACTAACTGAAAATCTGGAGCAGGGAATATATAAGATGAATATGGGACTGGGATGGATGTGTGTGTGGTGGGGAGTGGTGTTGTTGTTATGTGCCATCAAGTCAGACCCAACTCATAGTGACCCCTCCTTCAGTTTTCGAGGCGGCATCACTATGGAAGCAGATTGCCCAGCTTCCGAGGAGTGGCTGGTGGGTTTGAACCAACAGCCTTTTGGTTAGCAGTCAAGTGCCTTAGGCACTACGCCACCAGAGCTCCTATGGTGGGGAAACGGGGTCAAAAATCAAGTTATTGAAGACTAATGAGACTCTGTCAAAAAGACACAGGATGAGCTTAAAGAAACCATCACCAGGCATAGCTATGACAATTTGAGCATAAAAAAAGATTGCATTTGATTACAAAAGTTCAAAAAGTACATTTAAAAAATTCTATGAGATCATAATACTAAAAACAAAACAAAGTAAAGACAAGAGCCTCTTTTGTCATCGCTGGCAGTAGCTATTACACCATCTCTCCCAAAGTTAGACAGTAAAAGGAAAGAAGCATTCTTCCTGCCCTTCCCATTATAATTGTACTTCAGGATAACCCAGTAACCCCAGTTGATGATCTAAAGGCCTTCTTTACAGAAATCCAGCTAATAAATGTAGAAAAAATTACAGGATTAGAAAACTTTGTAAATACTAATAAAATAAATGATTCAAGCAACAATCATCAACAAATACTAAAGCCATTAATTGGTTAAGAAGGAACTCAATATTCACTAAGTACCGGAATATCAACCCACAAAATTACCTGAGGTACAGGAAGAAAAACGCAAGTTTTCAATAAATAATCAATTTTAGCATCCTTCTTTGCAGATTAACAGATGTTAGATGAAACTGATGTAATGTGAAATGTAATACAGAGCATCACTTATATTCTTTTGAAAAGTGCTTACCTTGACTCTAACCATGGTTTTAGATCTTTCAGTTCTCAGGAAATATAGAAAATAATGGAATAAATCAACCAATACCACAAAGCAATCAGACAAACTAGAAGGTAAGAAATTGCAGAAGACACTTGAACTGATTTCTTCAACAAGTCAATGAAATAAAGAAGGGCCACTGTTCTACATTAAAAGGTCAGTAGGCTGAGTGTTGCAAAAGGTTAACCTACTCGGCTGTTAATTAAAAGGTTGGAGGTTTGAGTTCACCCACATTCACCTCGGAACAAAGCCCTGGTGATCTACTTCTGAAAAAACAGCCATTGGAAACCATAAGCAGCACAGTTCTACTCTGACACACAAGAGATCACTATGAATCTAAATTTACTTGTTGGCAACTGGTTGAGAAACAAGAAATACAGTATGTGGGCCTTATTTGGATCAAACAAATATTTCTGGGACAACCAGGAAAATCTTAATATGAAATAAGTATTAGATAATCAATTAGATAATTAGATAATTTTAAGATAATTTTCTTCTAAAGTCTATTATGTTATGTAAGAAAATGTTTTTGTATTTCAGGATTACATACTCACTTACTTAGAGGTAAACTATCATGGGTGTAATTTATTTCAAATTCTTTCAGCAAAGAAAATAATCTGCTTTTTTTTTTTCCTATGGGGTTCATTATTTTATTCTCTCTTCTGAATGCTTGAAAGTTTTCACAATTAAAACTTTTGGCATTTTTATACTTAATCTTGAAATTTCGATTTTATATTAATATCTGATTTATTTTAAACTATAACTAGTGTTGTATTATACAGGCATACCTCATTTTATCATGTTTCACTTCACTGCACTTTGTAGAAACTGTGTTTTTTACAAATTGAAGATTTGTGGCAACCCTGAATCAAGCAAGTCTATTGGCACATTTTCCCAACAGCCTGTCCTCACTTCGTGTCTTTGTGTCATTTTGCTAATTCTCACCATATTTGAAGCTTTCACATAATTGAACTGCATAGTTAATAGTCTACAGTATAGTGTAAACATAACTCTTATATGCACTGGGAAACCTAAAAATTTGTGTGACTCGCTTTATTGTGATACTCACTTTATTGTGGTGGTCTGGAATGCAAAAGTTGGAAACAAAGAAGAGTTACTGGTAATTGGAAAAGATGGCCTTGGTGATAGAAATAATGCTGGAGATCACATGATAGAATTTTGCAAGACCAACAACTTATTCATTGCAAATACCTTTTTTCAACAACATAAGTGATGACTATACACGTGGACTTCATCAGATAGAATACATAGGAATCAGATTGACTACATCTGTGGCATGAGGCGATGGAGCAGTTCAGTATCTTCAGCCAAAAGAAGGCCAAGAGCTAATTGTGGAACAGACTATCAACTGTTCATATGCACATTCAAGTTGAAGTTGAAGACAATTAAAACAAGTCCACGAGAGCCAAAATATGACCTTAATAAAATCCTTCCTGAATTTAGACACCATGTACAGAATATATTTGATGCATTGAACACCAATGACTGCAACCAGAGGACTTGAGGGATGACATCAAGAACATCATCTATGAAGAAAGCAAGAGGTCATAAAAAGGCAAGAAAAGAAGACAAGACCAAAATGGATGTCAGAAGAGATTCTGAACCTTGCCCCTGAGTGGAGAGTAGCTAAAGCAAATGAAAGAAATGACAAGATAAAAGAGCTGAATAGAAAATTTCAAAGAACAGCTTGAGCAGAAAAAGCCAATTACTATAATGAAATGTGTTCTTTGGAGTTAGAGAACCAAAAGGGAAGAACACACCTGGAATTTCTTAAGCTGAAAGAAATGAGGAAAAAATGTAAGCCTCAAGTTACAATACTGAAAGATTCTACAAGCAAAATACTGAATGATGCAGGAAGCATCAAAAGATGATGGAAGGAATACACAGAGTCACTGGACCAAAAAGAATTGGTCAATGTTCATCCATTTCAGAAGGTGGCATATGATCAAGAACCAATGGTACTGAAGGAAGAAGTAGAAGCTGCGCTGAAGGAATTGGCAAAGAACAATGCTCCAGGAATTGACGGAATATGCATTGAGATGTTTCAACAAGTGGATGCCCGCTGGAAGCACTCACTCAGTTATGCCAAAAGATTTGGAAGACAGCTACCTGCCCAACTGACTAGAAGAGATCCATATTTGGACCCATCCCAAAGAAAAGTAATCCCAATGAATGTGGAAATTATTGAACAATATCATTAATATCACATGCAAGTAAAATCTTACTGAAGATAATTCAAAAATGGTTGCAGCAGTAGAATGACAGAGTGCTTCCAGAAATGCAAGCTAGATTCAGAAGAGGATATGGAACAAGGGATATCACTGCTGTTGTCAGATGGATCTTAGCTGAAAGCAAAGAATATGAGAAAGATATTTAGTTATGTTTTATTGACTATGCAAAAACATTTGATTGTGTGGATCCTAACAAATTGTGTATAACATTGAGAAGAATAGGAGTTCCAGAACACTTGATTGTACTCATGAAGAACCTGTACATAGATCAGGAGGCTGTCATTCGAACAGACCAAGGGGATACTGCATGGTTTAAAATCAAGAAGAAAGTGTGTCAAGGTCATATCCTTTCACCATATTTATTCAATTTGTATGCTGAGCAAGTAATCCAAGAAGCTGGATTATATAAAGAAGAAGAACATGGCATCAGGATTGGAGGAAGATTCATCAACAACCTGCGATAGGTAGATGACACAACTTTGCTTGCTGAAAGTGAGGATGACTTGAAGCACTCACTGATGAAGATTAAAGACTATAGTCTGCAGTATGGATTATATTTCAATATAAAGTAAACAAAAATCCTCACAACTGGTCCAATAAACAGCTTCACAGTGGATGGAGAAAAGATTGCAGTTGTCAAGAATTTCATATTACTTGGCTCTACAATCAACACCAATAGAAGCAACAGTAGAGATATCAGATGACATATTGCATTGGGCAAATCTGCTGCAAAGGACCTTTTTCAAGTGCTGAAGAACAAAGATGACTCCTTGAAGAAGGTGCGCTTAACCCAAGCCATAGTATTTTCAATCACCTTTTATGCATGTGAGACCTGGACAATGAATAAGGAAGACCAAAGAGAAGTTGATGCTTTTGAGTTGTGGTATTGGAGAATGCTAAAAGTACCATGGACTACTAAAAGGACTGACAAATCTGTCCTGGAGGAAGTACAGCCAGCATCCTCCTTGGACATGAGAATGCCCAGACTTTGTCTCACCTACTTTGGTCATGCTGTCAGAAGGAATCATTCTCTGGAGAATGACATCATGCTTGGTAAAGTAGAGGGTCAACAAAGAAGAGGAAGGCCCTCAACAGGATGGATAGACACTGCCTGAAACGACAGGCTCAGGTACATCAAGGATCCTGAGGCTGGCACAGGACTGGGCAGTATTTTGTTCTGCTGTGCACAGGGACACTATGAGTCGGAGATGACTCAACGGCACCTAACAACAATAACAACGTGGTGGTCTGGAACTGAACCCAAAATATCTCTGAGGTATGACTGTATATGAAACCAGAAACTTATCAAAAAGGAAGTATCTAGAAACTTTTCAAACAACAAGGTTTAATAACTACAATCATCATTTATAGAGTATTTCTATGTCACAAGTACAGTGCTAAAATGCTTTACACAGAGTATTTCCTTTAGCTTTATGAGGCAGATGCCATTCATGATATGTATTCCCAGCATACACGTAATAACATAATAAAGTTGAGACACAAAGAGGTTAATGCTCACTAAGTCAGAGGGCAGCAGACCCAGGATTCTCCTTCAGGTGTGACTAAAGGCTGAGCTTTTAACCACTGTACTGTACTGTCGAAGATGTATCATTATAGACTTTTTTAAATGAAATGTCCACATAAATCAGACAGTGAATCTATTAAGCAAAGAATTTTATCTAAAACTATGTATTTCTTAAGCAAATATTTCTTTGTTAAATATGAATGAAACCACATCATTTAATATAAGATAATGCAAGCATGCAAATTAACAATCTACCATTAAACTTTAAAAATGAAATATTACCTAGCATTACTCGGGTGATAATGAGTAGCATGAAATTGTTTAAGCTGTTCCCATGTAAGATCTGGGATGCATAATGGATCACCACCAGAGATCACTGAGTAAGTGTGGTCAGGAAGAAGTCTATTTTGAAGGTGCTGTGAGAATATCCTCTCATTATCTGTCTTCAAATTAAAAAATAAACAATAAAAATGAAAAAATATATATACATACACACACATTATTACATTACAATACAGCAAAAAAATCACATTCTGGGAGCATATAACTATAACATCTTGCAAATTAAAACTGTTTAACCATAAACATGGACATTTACGCAATATTGATTAATGTAAGCATTCAATTTATTAATAACCTATGTATCAGGGCCAAGGACTGGCTCTCTCTGAGGAGAAAGGAAATTTACTTGTCAGTATATACTGGGTAATCAATAATTGCACAACTGAAAGCAAAGAGAAGGACACAGTGAAATTAGGAAGGAAGTACTGATTCATTTTGCCCACTAACTGTATGAGAAATGGAGACTCTATGGGATTTCAGAGGAAGTTACCCTAATTTGAATTTCAACAAAGTGTCTTGAAACATGTGACACCCTAATTGAGCATTAAAGGATAAGAAACAGTTTTTCAGCTGAAAGAGGTCACAGGTAAGAAATCAGGAAACAGCACAGTAAATACAAGCAACTCTAAGCACTTCAGATATACTGGCACAGATCAGGGGCAGACTTTGAAGTTAAGATGGAAAATGATAATGAAGAACTAGGAAAGCAGGTCTCAAACTTTTTGATTTTAAGACCCTTTTATACGCCTAAAAATTAGTGAGGTTCCCACTTTTGATTATATGATTTCTCTAGATTTATAGGTATGTAAAATAGTTTTTCTATATTAGAAATGTAGGTTTATAATACATACAATATGAATTTTCCATATTAGAAATTAAAACTGAGACATTTTAAAAACAGTAACTGATCCAGGTATTAAGGCCCATCATTACATATTAACATTAATATTGTTTGGAAAATATTTTTCATTAACAAAACAAAAAAATAATGAAGAAAAGTAGCCCTGCTTTACATTTAATCTCTTCAGTGTGCAGCCTATTAGAAGACAGCTGGATTCTCATATGTGCATCTGTATTCAATAAGCTATGATATCTCTATCTTATAGTGTCACAAGGAGCTCTGGTAGCATAGTGCCTAAAAAACACTTGACTGCTAACCACAAGGCTGGCGGTTCAAACCCACCAGCCACTCCTTGGGAGGAAGGTTGGGCAATCTACTTCTGTAGTGATACTGCCTTGGAAACCCAAGGAAGGGTCACTATGAGTCGGGTCTGACTCAACGGCACATAACAACAACAACAACAACAACATAGTGTCACTGGTGGAAAACTCCATGAGGGCAAGAACAAGAGTGAAAAAGACAATGGTGTCTTAATATTATTATAAAAACAGTTTTTACTTCACAGACCTCCTACACATACAGAACACAGGGTTCCAGAAAGAACAGGAGGAGCCAGGCCCCTCTATCATTCTGTGGTTTCTGCACACAGCACTGCCCCTCCAACTAATTCAAGAAGTTACATAAGGTTAAGGATATTAGATGAAATACTAGAATGTCAACTATCTTTCAAACCTATTTAAATTTCCTATTTTACACAGCTAAGATCAACATTATAACACAATACAAAAAAAGGAAAACACTTACAAATGCTCCCTTCATTTCATTAAAAACAACTCCTTTAAAGATCAAGGGTGTTTGAGGGTCACTTGGATTCTCATGTTCTAGTCTCCATCCTTCCTGCCTAAACAATGATAAGTAATTATGAGATAACAAAGACTCCCATATTTAAAGTCTGTATCAATTAACGAATCATTACATACCAGAAATCCAGTTCCCGCAAGCATGGAAAAAAGGCTGCATCCAAATACACTGAGAGGAGATTCTGAAAATCCTTGGGATTTTGTGTGGAAAACGGATACAGAGTATAATCACTAGCTGGGTACAAATGAAAAGTAAGATGTTAAGGTACAACAAATTCCTGATAAAATTCCTTACTTTCAAACCTAATTTCACCATAAAAAAGAAGGTAAAATATCAATGGAACAAATGATATCAGTTCCACGCTTTGATCCATGACCTTGATATTATCACTGTTTTGCTTACCCTTGAGTTTCTACTTTTCCAGACCCAACGTGGGGTCTGGCACTTAATGAGCACTCAGTGTTAATTCTCTCAGTAAATATTTGCACAGTTTAAGTTCCTCTAGAGATATGCTGAAAAATAATCTCATTCTATAAGGGAATTTAATTTACTCTTTTAATTTTGCTCTTTCAAGAATAGATACTTTGCTTAATAGCACCTCTCGGTTCACATCATCAGACTAGTTACTATCTTCATATTTCCCCAAAGTAAGGCTCAAACAACACCTGCATCACCAAAATGTAGCAATGTTCCCCAGAGAAAACTGCTTTGACCTTTTCCAGAAAAAACTCACATACCATTTCCTAAACACCTCACTTTTATAATCCGACTACCATGTTGCTTACCTAAAGGACAAAATTTCCAAGATCTTTCATCTAGGCAGACAGGTAAATTACTCTAATCCACATGGTGCCAACTACCCTATTTATTCTTAGTTTTTTAGTTTCAGGAAATGAGTCTCACCTGTGAAGGCATTCATAAAAGTCGATAATGACCTATTTAACATTTTAAAGAAAGGATCTCTACAAGGATATTTCTGAGAACCACAAAGAACTGTATGCTCAAGAACATGTGGAACACCAGTACTATCCATTGGAGTTGTTCGAAACTGTACACTAAGACAAAGAAAAAAAGAGAACAAATGAAAAAGGGTTAAGCTTAATACTAAAAATAGATTTTAATACTAATACAGCTTTTAAAAATATTAATACTAATAAGGGAGCTCTGGTGGCGTAGTGCCTAAGGCATCTGACTGATAACCAGAAGGCTAGCAGTTCAAACCCACCAGCCACTCCTCAGAAGGAAGATTGGGCAATCTACTTTTGTAGAGATTGTTGTTGTTATTTGTGGTTATGTGCCACTGAGTTGAACCTGACTCATAGCGACCCCTCCTTGGGTTTCCAAGGCAGTATCACTACAGAAGTAGATTGCCCCATCTTCTTTCCGAGGAGTGGCTGGTGGATTTGAACCGCCAGCCTTCTGGTTAGCAGTCAAGTGCCTTAGGCACTGTGCTAACCCAAGACTAATACAGCATTTAAAATGTAATTTCCTCAGATTATTAGGATTAATCATTTTAATATTACAATTTTTCAATAAAATGTTTTGTAACTATAATGTGGGAGCTCTGGCAGCATAGTGGTTAAGGTACTTGACTGCTAACCAGAAGGCTGGCAGTTCAAACCCACCAGCCACTACTCGGAAGGAAGATGGAGCAATCTACTTCTGTAGTGATACTGCCTTGGAAACCCAAGGAGGGGTCGCTATGAGTCGGATCCGACTCGACGGCACATAACAACAACAGCAATTATAATGTGTAAGATCATTCCTTCAGACTATAAAATTTTAATGTATATAACTAAGAATATAAATTCATGTAATCTTTTCCTTATATTTTTGGTATACTTTATCAATGAGGGATATCTGGTGGAGCAGTGCCTACAGCATTTGAGTGCTAACCAGAAAGCTGGGGTTCAAACCCACCAGCCACTCCTCAGAAAGAAGACTGGGCAATCTACTTCCACAGAGTATCACCTTGGAAACCCAAGGAGGGGTCGCTACAAGTTGAATTTACTCAATGACAGTGAGTTTGGTTTTTTTGGTCTATCAATGAAAACAAAACTTTACTGAGCTATTACTTCAAGCTATTAATGTATGGTATTTTAAATAGAAACACTTTTAGACCATGCTCTTACATGTACCACATACCTAAATAAATTATTTTTGTCTTCTCTTGCCAGATGTAAGTATCTAGCACCTGTGTTGTCATGACTGAGCTTCACTGCAGTTAGGAATAGTTCAGGAATAGGTGTTACCTGGATTAAGAAAAACATGGTTATTTTAAATAAATTGAGATGATTTGGCTTGTTTTTCTTAAATTAGACAATATAGGAACTCAATATTTCAGGGCTGGAAGAAACACCAAAAATCATTTGTCCAAATCCCTTATATTTTTTTTTTATTGTGATTTGGGTGAAAGTTTACAGAGCAAATTCACTTTCCATATAGCAGTTCACATACACTTTGTCTCATGACATGGACTACAATTTACCCCAATGCAACAGCTCCCCTCCTACTTCCTCCTGATAGTTACCTCCTCCCTGTGTCCATCCCTCCATGCACTCCTGCCCCCTGAGCTGTCTCCCTGTACATAAACAGCCATTCTTTCTCCCATGATTGTTTTCTCCAACGAGTGTATCTACCTCAGGTAAATGTTCAACTCACATGCCTATCTTTTGGAAGGCTTTGGAAGCCCCAAGTGTGGGTTCAATTCCACACCTGAAGGGCAGCTGTCTCAGTGGTTCCATCAGGCTCTATCAGACCAACAAACCTGGCCCCCTTTTCTTTTTCTTTCCCAAATGATTTTGAGTTTTGTTCCACATTGTTCTCTCTCTCTATCCATGATCCCCTACATAGATCCCCCTCCAAGTGGTTGACAGTGGTAGCCGGGCACCATCCAGTTCTTCTGGTCTCATAGTCCTATAGGCTATGGATCACATGGTGTACCAGCTGCTAGGACTAATTGTTTCCATGAATCTTTGGTTTTCTTCATTCTTCTTTGTTCTGGATGAGGAAAGTCCCACTGTTGTATCTAGATGGCTGCCTGCAAGCTTTTAAGATCCCAGTCGCTAGTCAACAAAGTAAGAGGTGGAACAATGTTTCATGTAGTATGTTATGCCAACTGAGCTTGATGTCCCCTGTGACTATGTATGGTCCCAAGCCCACAGATTCAACAACTTGCACCCTCTGGGTAGCTGGCTGTGACCAAGAAGTGACTATAACCTTGTCCCTTGTCAGCTCTACTATACACCTGGGAGTTCTTGCAGAACATATAAATACACTTTATAGAACCATTGTCTGTCAACCCTATACATGGTCTTGAATACACTTCCCACTGCACTGACATACCCAAATCCCTTATCTTACAGATGAGGACATTAAGACCTAAAGCTGGTAATACATTCACTCTGCATTTAATAACGTGGCTACGTTCCAAAGGCCAGGTCATTGTGACAAGTGGCATTATATGACAATGCATTTGACCATATCAGATCACAAAATGGAGGGTGACTACATCATTATGTCACTGTCAAATTACATCATCACACAACTGTCAAGCCACTGAGAATCAAGGCCCAGCCAAAGTGACACATAACATTAACCATCACAACCAGGGTTACTCTCTCAATTACTACCTCGGCATTTGTTACTGACAGATGTATGTCATCAATGTGCAAAACAATCAGATAGTAGATTTTTTACTATTGTTATAAATGCAAAATGTTGGATAATACGATAGTGGATAAGTGAGGAGGAGGTGTAATACACAATTTTTTCTTGAGTACTATTTGCAAGACATTTCTGCACTTTGTATATTTCCCTGTGTAAAAGGTATTCTCTTCACCATTTAGAGATGGTAAAACTGAGGCACAGAAATATGAAACAATTTGTCCAAGATCACACAGAGCCAAAGTTCCAAACACGGTCTATCTAAAACCAAAAAAACCAAACTCACTACTGTCAAGTTGGACCCGACTCATAGCAACCAGTCCTTGGGTTTCCAAGGTGGTATCACTACAGAAGTAGATTGCCCAATCTTTCTTCTGAGGAGTGGCAGGTGGGTTTGAACTGCCAGCCTTCTGGTTATCAGTCAGGTGCCTTAGGCACTATGCCACCAGAGTTCCCATGATCTATCTGTGCTCCTTCAATTATACTATGCTGCCTTCTCTTTTAGAATGTCTGCTGTGTGCCTTTTGCTTTTACACATTTCATCTCATTTCATGTTCAAAATGACCTCATAAGAAACATAAATGTTAGAATAAGCCTTAGCCTGGAGCAGATTAAGGATGCTCTCAGGAGTGAAACTTGGCTTCATCTAGTTTATGAGTCTCAAGTGGTAAGCTGGGGTTATTACTAGTTACTTGTTTCTACAGGGAGAATGAATATGCCTATAGCAGAGTCTTTAGAACAGTGGGAGTGGCCAGGATGATGTAAATATTCTCAATAAAAATGAATGAATCCTCATTCCCAGTGGATGGTAATCTCTTACTTTATATAAAACTCTATTTAAGATTCTACATTCTTTTGTATTAAAGAGATTTACATACATATGTATGTATGCATGTATCTTCCAACTATGCCACCTGGCCATCTTCCCTTCAATTTACTACCATATCATTATGATAACCACGTACTTATTATGCCTATTTTTCAGATGGAGTGAAAGTAAAGTGTTCAAACTTACACAGTAAGTTATTAGTGGAGCTGAGATTAGAATTCAGGTTTCCTGAACCTAGTGTCACCACTGCCACACAACTGAAATGCTTAAAGTGGTCTACTAAGTAATAATGCTTACATGACTTAGGGTGATTTATTTATGTTTCAAAGTTAACGGAGCTTTCTAAGGGGTGATCAAGGAGTTCTGGTGGTGTAGTGATTAAGGTATTTGGTTGCTAATCTAAAGGTCACTGGTTTGAACCTACTAGCCATTTATGGAAGAAAGATGAGGCAACCTGCTTCCGTAAAGATTTACAGCCTTGGAAACCCAATAGGGGTTGCTATGAGTTAGAATCGACTCCATGGCAGTGTTTGGTTTGGTTTGATAAGGGATGATCAATGTATTTAAAATTATAGTTATTATTGTTGTTGTTGTTGTTGTTGTGTGCCATCGAGTCAGACCCGACTCATAGTGACCCCACCTTGGGTTGCCAAGGCAGTATCACTACGGAAGTAGATTGCCCAACCTTCCTTCCGAGGAATGGCTGGTGGATTTGAACCACCAGCCTTCTGGTTAGCAGTCAAGTGCCTTAGGCACTATGCTATCAGAGCTCCTAATCACAGTGGATAGATTAAAATGTTTGCCTAATAATAGCTTTCAAGTACACACAAGAATCATGAGCTTATCATAAAATACATTTTTCATAAAGGTTTGAAAACAAAGGAAAAGAATTCACCACTCTGAATAAAGTCTGTATTACACTAACTTGTATCATAAATCCAAACTTTCTGTGCAGCCTTTAAGAGACTTTACAAATGCTCTGACCTCACTTTAATGAACCCATGCTTCAGTGAAGCTAAATGACTCACTGTCCCTGGATCTTGCCTTGAACTCCTACATCACCACTTATTCATAATGTGCTCTTTGCTAGAGTACACACTAGTAATCTTGGCATCTCTTCTTAGCTTAAATGTCACTTTCTCCATGAATTTTTCCCTACCCCACTAACCGAGAAGCAATCCACTCTGCTTCTTCTGTCTTCTCTTGTAGTTTGCATTTCTGCTATAACATTAATAAGTTACCTCTTATATTAAAGTGCATATGTATGTGTCTTTGCCAGATTGTGTTTGCCTTTATATTTCTTATGGCATCAAGCACAGCATAAAATCAACAATTAGTCAAATATTTCAAGTACTTATGTTTCAATTATTAGTTTAAATTTAAAAAGCCATGTGATAGTATAAGAAAAAGCAAAAACAATAAAACTATAAGACAAACCAAAATAAGAACCAATAAAATCTATTATAACATAAAACAAAAAAACTCAAACTCACTGCCATCGAATCGATTCCAACTCATAGTGACCCCCATTGAGTTTTCAAGTTGGTAAATCTTTACAGAAGTAGACTGCCTCATCTTCCTTCTGCGGAGCAGCTGGTGGGTTTGAACTGCCAACCTTCTTGTTTGTAGTCTAATGCCTTAGGCACTGAGTCACCAGGGCTCCTTATTAAATGAAACTGCTTCGGAAACCCAAGGAGGGGTTGCTATGAGTTGAGTTGACCTAAGTAAATACAGGTCCACACTCCATTATTTGTAATTCTGAAACCCAATGGCTCCGAACAAAGAAAAGTTTTTGGATAAATTTGTAGCAAACTCTTTTGGGAGAAAAACCTGACCAGAACTGATGTGAGGCATTTAGTTTTTATTTATCATATCACACTTTATGTGAATAGTCATGCTTGGCTATAGAAATATTAATGTGTTTGACGATGAAGGGCTGATCCCAGATCCCTCTAGGAATGTGATATTTTAAAATCTGAAAAATTCCGAATACCAAAAGATGTTAGGCCCCAAGGGGTTCAAACACAGGAATAGAGATACGATTCAGTTAGCTCCTGCTATGTAACAGAAAGTATTCCTGGTTCTAGGGACACAAAGATGAAAAAAAATGGTGTCTGCTCTGAAGAAACTCACATACCAGCAGAAGTTGCATCTCTGTTATAATGCTGACATATAAATAGCATACCAAAATGTACCAGTACCTGGTTTATGGTAAATCCATGGATTTTTTCTCCTACTTTATATTGCAGAGCCCTCTCACATGCTTTATTACTCGTCCACCTCCATACTTTATAGTTTGCACAGCTATATTTAAGAAAAGTAATGAAAATTACATGATTAGTGAGAAAACTGTTTGGGTAACATATTCCAGCAACAAAATGAAAAATCTTTATGCAGTAAAGGAAATTTAATTCAAAGAATAATCATATTGTGTACCTTCCACAATTTCATTAATGTCCAGTAAAATTCTTCTATTTTTAACAAAAACTTTCCTAATATCAACATATAATTAAATGCTGAAAACTTGTTCTTTGTACATGTTCACAAGAAACTAGAATACAATTATAATACAAATTCTCAAACAAGATACATCCTCAATTGCATAAAAAACAAGTCTCAGGTCAAAGTGGCTTATTCCATCATAGTAATCTCATAGGCCATCACATAAAGCAATACATTCAAATTACAGTATAATACCATTACACATGTAATTGGTGGAAATTAAAAAGTCTTATATCATCAAGCAAAAGCAGGAGCTCTCATAGTGGAACAATCACTTTGGAAAATCATTTGCCATTATTTAGAAAAGTGAAGATTAGTACTTCTACCTCTAAACATATCCCCTCTAGGAATGTGTACTTGGGCACAAGCACACATTTAAAAGAATGTCAGTACTGTTCCTAACGGGAGCTCTGGTAGCATAGTGCCTAAGACATTTGATTGCTAACCAGAAGGCTGGAAGTTCAAACCCACCAGTCATTCCTTGGAAGGAAGATGGGGCAATCTACTTCCGTAGTGATACTGCCTTGGAAACCCAAGGAGGGGTCGCTCTATGAGTCGGGACCAATTCGAAGGCACATAACAACAACAACATTCCTACCAGCCTCAAACTCAACCAACCCAGATGTCCATCAACAGAAGAATGGATAAATTATGGACTATTCACTCAATGAAATAATAAAAATGCCCTGAAATGTCCATTAACAGATGAATGAATAAACAAAACGTGGTACATACGTACAATGAAATATTAATCAGCCATAAAGAGAAATTAAGTTCTGATACATGCTACAACATGGATGAAGCTTGAAAATATTAAGCTGAGGAAAACAAGTCAGTTACAAAAGGAAAAATATTGTATGGCTCCACATATATGAAGTAGGTAAATGTATAGAGAACATAGTTTATTAGTGGTACTAAGGGTGGGAGTAGGAGGGAAAGGAGGTATCATTGCTCAGGGGCACTGAATGCCTGCTAATGGTGGAGGAATAATTTGGAAAGGATAGTGGTAATGGTTGCATGATATGACGAACATAATCAATGTAACTGAATTTTACATGTAAAAATTGTTGAAATGACAAATGTTTTGTTATATATATATTTTTACTATCATTTAAAGAAATATGTTTTACATTAAAAAAACACGAATGAACTATATGTAACAAAGATGTAGGTCACATATGTTGAAAACAAAAATTACAAAGGATACATGCAGTATTATTCTATAGATAAGTTCAAAAACAGCACTACACTATATTGTAAGAATGCATACGAATGGTAAAAAATTCAGGAAAACAGGGAATGTTTTCTCTTTTTTTAAAAAATAATATTCCATTGTGTTTTCAGTGGGGATATAGTGGTTTATGTTCCCAATACAATAATTTCTGCAGAAATTGTTCAGGGACATTGGTTACATTCTCTACAATATGTGAACATTTTCACTATTTCCATTATCCTTATTCCATTTCCATTAATCTAGTTGCCTTGCTCAGAAATGATTTCTATAAAATCTAAATAGTGATTACTTCTTGGAGGGAGAAAAAGGGTTATGATCAGGAAATGGCAATTTTAAGCTGAGTAATGGTGACACAACTTTTTAAAATAATTCTTCTTCCAACTGTAACACGTTTTATGGGATTTTCTACAGTAACATTATAGCTCACAAAAACATACTTTAAAAAAAATAATAATATATGCACAGGAAAAGAAAGCAGATTGGTCACTGGCAATATTATAGATATGCTATAATCAACTACCATCTTCTTATCGATTTAGCAAACTGCAAAACCATGGAATAAAGAAAGATTGTAAAAAGTTAATTATTATCAAGAACAAAAATCACAAGAAGAATATCCTACATAAAATGTATGAAAACCTCAAGACACAATACTTAGGTTTTCCCTTATATTAAAAAAAAAAAAAAAAAGTTTCCAGTGAATCAGTTTCAACTCATAGCGACCCATGTGTTTCAGAGTAGAACTGAGTGCCATAGTTTTATGGCTGCAGATCACCAGGCCTTTCTTCAAGTGTGCCTCTGGGTGGGCTTAAACAACCAACCTTTGGTTAGTAAATTAGTGCTGAACTGTTTGCATCACCCAGGGACTTCCCCCCTCCCCCCTATACTTCTTTTAATTTATTACAGTAATGCTCCAAACACACCATAAGGGTATTCCAAAAACAGACCTCTCAATGTTCCATATAGCAAAAAAAAAAAAAAATGTCCTACATTAAATGGGCTAGTTACAGTAAGATATACCATAAATTAAACAGGTTGTTGAGGAGTAGCCTAAAAACCAATTCTTTATTATTTGTTTATAACAAAAATATTCTGTTCATTTACAAATTTATAAGATACGGCACTCACAGTTGGAAACTAAATGTATTTTTTCACACAATTCTAGTTATTTTTAAAAAAGTTCATTCTGGAAGGCTATTAATTTTATTAAGAACTAAGCAGCTTAAAGGTAAGTATAGTGGTAGAAGCATAGGTCTCTTGAGGACTCTCTGCCCCATAACAAAAATGAAATTGGAGCAAAAGTATTAATGAGGATCATAAACTGTCAGTTACTTTTATTATACATATTAAAACCCACATCAATAGTTCAAAAAGCCCAGACATCCTCCACACAGGGCACCCACTCTGAGGATCATTTGAGGTCCAAGAAGGGGAAAGAGGGGTCAGGAAAGCTCCTTTGGGACCCATTTCGCCAAACAGACTTTTCCAGCTAAATCCCACAAGACAGAAAATCCGTTTTTTTCAAAGCAGGCCAAGAGTTCTCTTCAGCAAGAATGCAAAGGATTTTGCTGCTTAACCTACTTCTGTGAGGCAGCTCTGCCATTTCATGGCATTAAAAGTATCCCTTTCCCAGGGTCACTGAAGAGATCCCTACGGCTGAGGCCCAAAACATTAAAGAGAATACAGGAACCCCCAGGCCAGGAGACCTGTCGGAAGGACTTGGCACCTGGGCCAGGGGATTCATCCCCTCCCTCCACGACCCCGACACCACGAGACTGTGTACTCGGCTGCAACGGCAATGGCTCTCTCCCGCCCCTCTCGGCTCCTGCCTAGCCTGAGGACTTCCAGCGGGGAGGCCCAGTGCACTCTGCCGTACTGGTCGTACTCACCGGTCAGTCAGCCTCCGCAGTCCGCTACCGCGCCACATGGCCTTGGTGGAAAGATTGCTAGCACCAGCCCGAGTGACAGCCACTTAACTCTATGTACAAGGGACGGAGGAGGGCCAACCACCGTCCCCGTCAACTATTGGTCAACGTGGCGGAGCTACGCCCTCTCTAATAGGCTGGCAAAGAAAAGGGGAGGCCCCCGCAGCCGCATGGTAGGGCCGAAGGGGCGTGTCTCAGTCGGCATCTTCCGCCCCGGGAGCTGTGTTCTGCCGCAGCAGCCAAGAAGTGGCGGAGACAGAGCGGTGCATATTCAGTGTTAAGGGAAACCTGAGTCTTTATAGCCGTGATGTGAACATCTATGTCTTAATGTTTCTGCCCTGAATTTTTTTCCATATTTATGCATTTCATCTTTAGGTCAAATGATGTAAAAGTGACCTCCATCAGGTTACTTAGCTCCTTTGGGGTTGACTGCGTCTTTTATAAAAATCAGAGGATTGGAATTCCTGAGGTCATGGTTCTTTGATGGTCTGAACCTCGAATTGCTCAGATTTTTTCTCAGAAGCTATGTTGTTGTTAGGTGCTGTGGAAGAGGTTCTGACTCTCAGCAACCCCATGTACAACAGAAACACTGCCCAGTCCTGCACCATCCTCACAATTGTTGCTGTGCTTAAGTATATTGTTGCAGCCATTGTATCAGTCCATCTCCTTGAAAAGTTTGCTCTCCTTTGCTGACTTTTCACCTTACCAAGCATGATGTCTTTCTCCAGGGATTGGTACCTCCTGATCACATGTCCAAAGTAGGTAAGATGAAGTCTTGCCATCCCCACTTCTAAGGAGCGTTCTGGCTGTACTTCTTTTAAGACACATTTGTTTATTCTTCTGACAGTCCATAGTATATTCAATATTCTTTGCCAACACCATAGTTCAAATGCTTCAATTCTTCTGCAGTTTTCCTTATTCACTGTCCAGCTTTCACATGCGTATGAGACAATTAAAAATACCACAGCTTGGATCAGGTGCTCCTTAGTCTTTGATTTCTTGACTGCAGCTTTCATGAGTGTTTGTGGATCTAAGTGAAATGAAATCCTTGACACTTCAATCTTTTCCCCATTTATCATGATAATGTGTATTGTCCATTTGTGAGGATTTTTGTTTTCTTTATTTTGAGGTGTAGTCCATCCTGAAAGCTTTTGTCTTGATCTTGGTTAGTAATTGTTTCAAGTCCTCTTTGCTTTCAGCAACCGAGATTGTGTGCTCTGTATTTTGCAGTTTGTTAGTAAGATTTCCTCCAATTCTGATGCTGCATTCGTCTTCATATAGTCCACCTTCTCAGATTATTTGCTCAACATACAGATTGAATAAGTATGATGAAAGAATACAAACTATAAAACATCTCAAAAAGTCCTGAAAGAGGTTTATGTAATTTACTGATTCTACTCATGGTGTTATTTTATGTCTTAGTTTTTGTTGTTGTTGTTGTTGTTTGCCGTGGAGTCAGCCCCGACTCATAGCAACCCCTCCTTGGGTTTCCGAGGCAATATCACTACGGAAGTAGGATTGCCCAACCTTCCTTCCGAGGAGTGGCTGGTGGGTTTTAGTGCTGCTTAACAGAAATACTACAAGTAAGGCTCTTTAACAGACAGAAATTTATTGTCTCACGGTTCAGGAGGCTAAACATCGGAATGCAAGACAATGGCTCTAAAGGAAAGCTCTCTATGTCCACTCTATGGGAAAATACTTGCCTCAGCTTCCCTAGCCTTCATCTTGGCATTCCTTTGTGATTTCCACCCAGGCCTCTATCTTTACCCCATTCTGTGCTTTCTGGTCTCTGTGCCCAATCTGCTCTTTTTAGTATCTCAAAGGCCATTGGTTTAAGACACACCCTACCCTGATAACACTTAATTAAAATAACAGTGGAAGCCCTATCCTCAAGTGGAATCACATCCAGGAGTATAGGGGTTAGGATTTACAACACATATTTTTGTGGGACACAATTCAATCCATAACACTCTGTATTTTTTAAGATTTCTAAACATATTCATGTAACTTTTTTTATAAAAAAACTCAAAGCCAAGGCTTGAGGAGAGAACAATAGAACAATGAGTGGGGTGGAACTGGACACCTTCGTTGTGAGTTGGAACAGACATTTTGGTCTGAGCTCACCTGCTTACCTAAAAGTTGGTGGTTTAAACCCACCCAGTGGTGCCACAGAAGAAAGGTTTGGCAATCAACTTTTATAAAGATTACAGCCAAGAAAGCCCTGTTAGCAGACCTACTCTGTGGCACATGGGTTTGTCATCCAAGGCAGTGAGTAGAAAGAAACAGTGTATGGGTGAGATTTCTTCCTCAAAATGCAAGTTTGACCTTCTAAGATACTCAGAAATTTTCCCTCCTGTCCATCTCTCTCCCTTTTTCTTCCCTTTCCCCACTAATGTAAGGAGACTGGAATTACCCTCTCAATTTTTCCAGGTTCTGAAGAAAAACTGCTAAGTAGATTACAATTGGTCTAAAATTGTAAAGGCCTTGACAACAATGCAGATGATAACATTGCTTCAAAAAGTCACAAAATGTCTACAAAAAGCCCTCTATAACGTAACCGGTCTTGCAACTAACCAAATACTTCCTTATTGATGAACCCAACTGAAGAAGAAGAAACAATGGTGATGACAGACTCTGATATAAACATAGTTTATGCATGTACCTTTTTCCAGTGAGAATCTGTGTGATAAATGTTAATGAGTCGTCACAACATCTCTATGATGTTAGGGGAGACAGTTGGGTATTATTAACCCCATGGTGAATGAGCAGGAAACTGAGGCACTGTGAGGTTATAGTATTTTGATCTCTCTGAAAAATAGATGCTATATAAGTGCAGTAATTGCCATTTATTAGTATATTCCCACAGGATACAACATCCCTGATGGATGACCTAAATACACGCATACACACACACAAAGAATTTATTAATAATAATTTTGAGCTGCATCTACTATAGTTTTAACACATATACAATCTCAATTTGTATTCACACAAATAATTTTAATGTAGAAATGAAAAAAATTATCTACAAAATATACTAAGTTACAAAAACATGTCTTTTGTTACAGTAAAATGCATTGCTTTCATAAGACTAGCAAATCAGCATAGGTCAGGATAGATTTTGCCTGAGACCTAGAAGAGCAAACAAATGAATATGGAGTCATCCCAAGGATAAGACTTTGAATTTACAGCACTTACAATGTGAACCTAGAGGGAAGTGATTTAAAAAGACATTTAAAACAAGAATTTAACGGTATTTGTCAACTGATTCAATATGGCAAATACAGTAAGGAAGGAGCCATTGCTCGGAATAAAGATTGGGCAATCTACTTCTGTAGAGATACCTCCTCGGAAAACCAAAGAGGGGTCTTTAAATGAGTCAGATCCGACTCCACAGCAGTGAGTTTGGTTTTTGGTTTTGGTGGTGTAGTGCCAAAGGCATTTGACTGCTAACCAGAAGGCTGGTGCTTCAAACCCACAAGCCACTCCTTGGAAGGAAGACCGGACAATCTAAAGATGTACTACCTCAGAAACACAAAGGGGTCACTATGAGTTAGAAATTTGTTTTTTGGTTTAAAATTGTAAGGTCTTGTCAAATTCTACAGCTATTAATGAGATGGAAGACTGTTAATAGGCCTGTCCACTCAGTGCAGTGGAGTAGACTCCAATTCAACCCTATGGGTCAGAGTAGAACTGTAAATCTTTATGGAAGTAGACTGCTTTATCTTTCTTGTATGAAGCAACTGGTGGGTCCAAACCACCAATCTTCTGGTTAGCAGCCAAGCACTTTAATCACAGCACCATCAGAGCTCCTAATGAGCTTATGCTGAATTAAAATATTGCTGAAAAATTAAGAGGAAATGGTTTGCAAAAGCCAGATTTCAAAGACAGATGAGCAAGAATAAAATACATCTTTGAATGGAAAAAAAAAAAAAAGAGAGAGAGAAATAAAGGAGGGCTGGAAATGTTAGCTGAAGGAGCTCTGGTAGTATAGTGGTTAAGGCATTTGGCTGCTAACCAAAAGGTCAGTGGTTTGAACCCACCAGCCACACTGTGGAAGAAAGATGGGGTGGTCTGCTTCTATGAACATTTACATCCTTGGAAACCTAATAGGAGTTGCTGTGGGTTGGAATCATCTCAATGGCAATGAGTTTAGTTGAAGTTATCTGAAGGTTTTTGTTTTTAATTAAATTTTATAGGCTTACCAGTTGCTGGTGAGTGGACTTGGAATCATGGTGACCCCATGTGTGTCAGAGTAGAGCAGTGCCCCACAATATTTTCAGCGGCAGATTTTTTTTCAAAAGTAGATCACTAGGCCTTTCTTCAAAGGACTGTCTGTTGTTATTGTCGTAATGTGTCATCCAGTTGATTTCAACTCATAGCGACCCCTCCTTGGGTTTCTGAGGCAGTATCACTACCGAAGTAGATTGCCCCATCTTCCTTCCAAGGAGTGGCTGGTGTGTTTGAACCGCCAACCTTCTGGTTAGCAGTCAAATGCTTTAGACACTATGCCACCAGAGCTCCAAGGACCCTCTGGGTGGA